ACGTAAGTTTAATACTTGGATATACGCCTTTTAGTCAGATCCTTTAGGCAATTGCTGTGTACTTACGCCTTTAGCTAATTTTATGTATGGAGAGAAGTAATACCTTTGAGCATACGTCCTCTTGTCAAATCATACATACAACTCTAAGAAATCACTCGGCGACCCTAACTCCAATACGGAATAATTGACCGTTACGCCCCTTTGTCAGATCAGCGACGATATGTGGACGTCGATATATGCAGAAGCCGCTGAACCAAAAATGGGACTTCTGCCTAAAGAACGACTTATGTACTATAAAAAACCATTTTCTGCAACTGGTGTGGATTATTTTGGACCATTTGAAGTAAAAATTGGTAGACGATTGGAAAAACGTTACGGAGTACTCTTAACATGCCTCACAGTGCGCTGCATCCATGTAGAAATTGCTTATTCGTTAAATACAGATTCTTGTATAATGTCAATTAGACGATTCTCAGCTCGGAGGGGGACAGTGAAATAGTATATTGTGTATTTAGGTGGAAAAGTGACACATTCTCGGCCGACGGTGTAAGTTGACGGGCGAGGCGTAGCCGAGGCCGGCAAACACCGAAGGCCGAGAATGTGCTTTTTCACCGAAATACACATACTATTTTTTCTGCAATCGGTTAAATACCTGTTATATGTTTGTCTTTTAGTTCCAATTATTCAGCAATACGAGAATCACTTTCCTGGCCTAGGCCGGAAAGGTGTTGTAACATTTTAATTTTGCTCTTCCCATTAAATGAGTAATTCAGCGTTTTAACTGGTAACACACAAATATTATTTTAGAGCTGACTTAATTGATTGGATATTAATTACCTTACTCTGCATCTTTTTAGATAATTTCAGGCACAGCCAGACAAGATTTTGCTCCTTATCATTTGTCTAATGATTTAGTTGACCATTGCAGATGAATATGTATTGAACAATGCCTGGTTATCTTATTCTTGTTGTCCTTAAAAGGAATATACATAAATTATCAATTTCATTAGTCGATAGCCAACATTGTTTTGATTTTCAAATAAAAAGGGGTTATGTCCAGTTAATTGTCATTCAATTTTATTTTCGCGCCAGCTCATTTCGAAGGATTAATTCCTTTAGTTTTCACTCCCTCTCTGTCTCTCTCTTACTGGAGGATTTCATTTCTTTTATTTACCTGTTATCGAGTACCTATATCGATCAATTTGCTGGTACTTTGGTTTTGATCGCGTAGGGTTGGGTTTTTCTATAAATGTCGATATAATTGGTGTCGTGTTAGAGAAGGCATGGACAATATTATTTAATAAGTGAAGTTATTTATAGATTTTAACGAGAATAGTGTTTTCCTGATTTGTGGATTGAGTCGGTTCCATTTGTTGAGTCCCTTTGGAGGTTTCGCTGACGACTATCGATATCTTTGTCGTTATCTTTCAATCCTTCCTAAAGTGTGGAATGTGGAATTCGATAGAAAAAAATGTAACACAAAAAAAAGTTAGTGCGTAGAAATTTCTGGTTTAGGGTCCCAGAAATCGTACAACGGTCTTTTCCATTTCGTCCAGCGACAAGAACACTTTGGCTTTGGCCTGAAGGATAGTTTTTTTATCCGGTTGACCATAAAGAAAATTAAGTGATTTTCTCTATTTAATTAGGATCCGGTCATCCAGATAATTTCAATTTTGGTTTTGCCAGTCTAGTTTTGGTTTTTGTTACCTTTTGGCAGCCAAATCACCTTTCTAAGGGATTTATCTATTTCTTCTAGTCGGTAAGTCCACCATTTTGTGAATTTGTATTGTTGTAAATTAATTAGTTCTATTCTTACAATAGAATATCATTCACGTCGCTCGGATTGAATTGCTTGAGCCTAGACTCTTAGAGCCTTGATTTTATTGTTGCTCGTTATTGTGAACTTCCAAATTGGATCAGCCAGCGTAGGTGAAATTAGAGTTCCATGACGTTCCTTTCACCTTCAACCTTTGAGCTGTGGCCCTCAAAAATCCACGAGGTAATTATAATTGCAATTTTCCATTTTAATGTTTTATTGGGGGACCATTCTATGCCACATTGATTGGTAGACTTATAGTTTTTTTATTTTAATATTTTTTTGGCAATGCAACTTAATTTAATGAATTGAACTCATTATATTTGGTAAATTGGTTAAAACTTGGGAATTGAAGTGTACAATTTCATATCCCAAGTGGCATAATTTCAATGGGGATTTAAGGGTAATTTATTTACTCATTGGTGCTTTCTTTAGGGTCTTATGGTACGGTTTTATGCTACCGTTTTCGATAACGCAACTCAGTGGATGTTTTGATGGTATGCAGTACCCACCACTGTATCTGAATAGCAAAGACTCGGCGAACTAGTTTTCATTGATGAGATAGATCATCTGGTACGAGTGTGAAATCCCAGACCCATTGTTAATTGTCGGCATAAAGCTAAGTAGTTTAGTGTAATTTTTTTTATTAATTATTTAAAAATATTGTATATGGCTTAGGTAACTTTAGTTACTCACATTTAAGTAAACATTTGACCCCATTTATTTGCGGAGTGATCACTGACGCTGGGTGTGTGGTAATTCGCACTTATTCGTTATTTTAGTTTTAAGTATAGCTCTCTGCTTACATAGGTATTCATACATATCAATACCGACAGACAGTTTTCTTAAATCTGACTATGAGGAAGCCTTTAGGTTCTTTATTCCTGCTAGTCGTCATACTAGCCTCTGAATACTTGTCATAATCATTATTTAATCACCATAACTTGTACTAAATCAATACTTAATATTCAATAAATACTGATTTTGTTTAATTGCCAATTACCTGCTTTCTTTGTCTTTTTGCTTATCCAATTATTTTCTTACATTTCAGGCATAATAATTTGGTTTGTACTTTAGTTCAACCTGCAGTCATCGCAGGACTTTTCCGATTTAGTTTCAAAAATTGGTGGCGCACGAATCCACGAACCGGGCACGTGGACACTTTAACAAACTCTGTTGAACTAAGGTCGCAATCCAAATAAGGTTACATTTTGGTAATTGATTTTTCTTACGTAAAATAAAAGTGTTACAGTGGTTCCCGTATTGTTATTCATTGATTCCTTAGCAACTATTGAAATATAATTGAAATACCAGAATATTGAGTTTTGCGACCTGTCAACCGGTCAAAAATGTTGACATTTCTTGTCAATCGCAGAAAATAGTATATTGTGTATTCAGGTGGAAAAGTGACACATTCTCGGCCGACGGTGTAAGTTGACGGGCGAGGCGTAGCCGAGGCCGGCAAACACCGAAGGCCGAGAATGTGCTTTTCCACCGAAATACACATACCTACTATTTTTTCTGCAATCGGTTAAATACCTGTTATATGTTTGTCTTTTAGTTCCAATTATTCAGCAATACGAGAATCACTTTCCCGGCCTAGGCCGGAAAAGTGTTTTCTGTATTGTTATTCATTGATTCCTTAGCAACTATTGAAACATAATTGAAATACCAGAATATTGAGTTTTGCGACCTGTCAACCGGTCAAAAATGCTGGCATTTCTTGTCAATTGCAGAAAAATATTTTTATCAGATAATGGGACTAATTTCAAAGGTGCCAGTCGAGAACTTTTGATGATATGACTAATTTAGGAATAGAATGGAAATTTAACCCGCCAATTGCACCTCACATGGGAGGTTCTTGGGAACGTATGATTGGTTGTTTTAAACGTTCTCTAACTGCTGTAAAATGAAAGATAGACATCCTAAAGATAAAGTTTTAAGGACACTATTCACTGAATGTGAATTTATTGTGAATGGCAGACCATTAACTTACGTGTCTGAAAATATTGAAGATAAAATTTGCTAAACGCCTAATGATATACTAATAGGCAATTCCACCGAAGTGGTTATTACACTACAATTATTTTGTATATAAAAAAACAGTGGAGATTATCTCAATATCTCACAGACATTTTCTGTAAGAGATGGCTAAAAAATATTAAGCAGATCAAATCATACGACCCAAATGGAACAAAGATGAGTAACATTTAAAAGAAGGAGATTTGGTTTCAATAAATGAAAATAATTTTTCGAAAAATGTTTGGCCACTTGGAGTCATAACAAAGACGTATAAAGGTGAAGATGGCATGGTTAGAGTTATTGAAGTTCGTAATTCTCACGGGGTTTTGAAGCGTCCTGCCCAAAAAATATTTAAACTAATTACTAGTGTTGACGTCATGGTAGTCAACACCGTGGGGGACAATGCTGATAAAACCACTGAAGAATAGTTTTTTCTTTTTCTTTTCTTTTATTTATGATGAAATAATTTAGGGTAGAAGATGTTTTGAAAAAAAATCTACCTATTGATTGCAATAAAAGTCATAAAATATATTGCGTGTCATAATTAATACATAAAAACTAAGCTAAAGAAACAGATTAATAATCAAAGAAGAGTGATTTCCAGTAACAGTCCTCATACGATCTCTATTTGCCTGGATTGATAATAATATTATTATGGTTGTCACTTGTCACATTTGGAGATTTAAGAACATCGTCGATAAGCTAGAGAAACTAGAAAGTCACTGGACTTCCTCAAAAACTTGATGCTTGAACATGGATTTTTAGCGAAAGAATAACTGGAGGGCCAATATTTTTCAACGATAACCCCGATGAAAATTTTATTCGAATTTTTTGCAACAAGACCCTATTCCAAATTCAAATGCTTTATTTCCAAACAATAGTAACATCATGATAATATAGTTGTAGAAAGACGGAGCGTTTCCAGCAAGGTCCCACAAAAGCGTCCTCTTGAGTTGAAGATAATGATAATGTAAGTAAGTTAAAGAGTAGGTACCTAAAAATGTTGAAAATGTGAAAACAACGCAGGTTCGCGATATGGATGTTAACTCAATTCGGCGTCTTAAGCACCCCCTTGCAAGAGGTTTAAGCTCTTCCGACTCCGAAAAGCGGCGCAAGCGTTTGGTACACCGATACAGGGTACAACAGCTAGTGCTAGAGCTTTGGCCATCGTCGTCGGCGCGGCTGTTTAGCTGTTAGGAGGTTGTTCGGTTGTTCCGTTTTCATTGTACTCGTGGTAACAGCGGTTGCATGTCGCGGCGCGTGCAGTGATGGGGCACGCGGCAAAGTGATGCGATGCGCGCGGTCCTCGTGCCCGTATGTCTGCTGCTCGTGTCCCCCATTTCCACCACGTCTTGGTAAGTACCCAACCCCCATATTCTTTTACACCCCCCATTTTTTTATGCTCTCCTAGTTTTTCCAATTCTAGGTTACATTTTCGTACTCATGCACATGCAAGTGTCCTGAAAATAGGAAATTCTAATAGAAAATGCTTTTCTGTGATTGTCCCTGATATCTGCAGCTTATACCTATTCAACCCCCATACTCTTCTAGCATCCAAACTTTTGTATACCTACTTCTCTCATTTGACTGAGGAATTTTGTTGATCTTATTCTAGACCTAGTATCTACTCCTAGTGCTAGTAGGGAAGTTTTTAGAAAAAATCTCGCCCCATTACTTGCTGCTTGTGTACCCCCGCCAAGCCCCAGATTCCTTCACGTCTCAATTTCCTAATAAAGCTTTTTTTGTGTAGGAAAAAAAAATTAGAACCTACGCACAGTTCTGTCCATAGATCCTCAAAAGATTTATTTAATTTTCCTCGTAGTGCAAATTTTTTCAAAATACAAAACTCTATTTATTCACGTTTATCTATTTATGTTTACCAATCTGAAAACTGAATAAGACATGGAATAAATGGTGTATTAAAAAAACTGTATCAACATGAAGGAAACTAAAAGCGCCTTTTTTGATCTGTTCTAACTTACCTATCCCCTTTTAAACCAACGGTTTAACCATCATTTGCTCTAGGTTTGACTCGTCGATAAATGATTTTTGTACGTAAGATTTCTACTGCCGAAAACTGTTTGTCTATGATAAGTTTTTTTGGCTTCACATCCAAAATAATACAGAACGTAATTTTAAAATCCTTTGAAACCACACAAAAGTCTCAATTTTTATGTCATTTTCTGAAGATAGGTACCTAGATACCTCGACTAAGTGCTACTTAGTTAAAATGATTTATATTATAAAGAAAATAATCTTATCTGCTGTGTGTTTTTATGCAGTAATAATACATAATAACAATAATTGCAGGATTAAATCATAAATTACTGTTGAGTAATTAAAACTTGTTGCTGTCAGATTTAAATCGTAAGGAATCACTCATTCACTGAGACTATTTTTTTCGGAGTTATTACTAAGCGCTCGAACATTTTGTTGAATCTGTTGGCTGACCTCGTAGAAACTAAAATCGTCTGCCCTTTTATATTTTTAATTGTAAACGTAACAAAAGTGAAACAGCTAATAGAAAATGACATTTAACATTTTGATTTTTGAACGAAGCTCAGTCAAATAATTGGAGTTAGTAAGTGATTGAAGGGTGCTTTTTTTCAATTCACCTATATTTCCCGAGGGGTTTTTAGATTTAGAAACATTGCAGATAAGACGACGGAAAGATAACTCATTGAAGTTGTTATAAGAAGTGTTTTCTTGCTATGAAGTTGATTTTGCTTCAAAATCAAAATGATGCTCATAATTCCTATACCTGCATATCTCAAAACAGAGTCGAAATTGTAGGTATCGCTTTTTCTTTGTTTGGTCGCATCAAGGCACGAAAGCAAAAAGTATGTCGATGGGCGTTGGATGAACAAAATATAAAAGATGAAGGCAAATTTAACTTTCAAATATCTTCAACAAATAAAAATCGGTATTAATAGAAATTGTACTTAAATGCTTAAATGGCTGATTTTCACTGTTTGAGTTCCATGTGATGATATAAACCATTAAGCATTAAACTGCTAGATAAATATAGTTTGTTTAGTCCTGAAGAGAAAAGGCGGCTTGGTTGGAGGGGTTGTCCATCATATCTGAGCGATATGTGTCAGCTTGTTTACGCTAGTCCGGAGAAAATCATCAACAGAAATATTTATTTTCAAAAACGTGAAAAGAGACTCTCATCATCTTATTCTAGAGCCAAACAAGTTTCACAAGTATCGGTGTCTAATGGTCGATGGCATTAACTTCAAAATTGTGGAAAACTTCAAATTAAAAATTCAGCTTCATTAGAAAAAAAAATTATGATATTGTAACTCATATACGTTTATTTCTAACGACGCACCAGGAAAGTTTTAGTTCATTTTCCTCAAGAATAGACACAAACGCACATTGCAATAATTTAATTTGACCATTAGTCATAGTAATTACGATCAAAGCATCAGCCTATATACTCTATATAGGTCACAACTGTGCACCAGGTACCCAATAAATAATAACTCATGCTTTCAGTACGCATAGCATGGGATCATTTCCGAAAGACGATTTTATGGCAGCAACGTTAATTAATTAAACAAAAGAACCGACTAATTAGTTTTGCATGATCGTAAAGTTAATTAATGAACATCGGTTACCATTTCAAATAAATCAGAAGGCTTCTAAAACGTTTTTTAATGTGGAACACGGGTGGTACCTATATATGTACATATATACGGAGTGTTTCGAAAACTTTAACTACATAATATAAACAAGAAGATGAATAAACCGGGCCTAACTCTAACTCTTAACAGTTTTTAATTTATCTCGACGTTTTATTTAGAAATTCATGAATTGTTGTCGAAAAAGGTGTGAAACACCTTGTTAGTACTAGATTGTTTTTTCTGTGGGAAAATTAAAAATTTAACTGAAGAATTAATATTAGTGCTATCGCTACACCCCATGTTATCTTTAATTTTAGTTTATCAAGTGCATTTTTCACCTCATTGTGTAGACGTTTAATTAATCTCTTATAACCGAAAAGCTTGTGTGGGTTTTTGTTTATTAAGCTAATAAACCCACACTATAGGTTTACCGTTACACAAAAACTATGAAATTTAGCTGACAGCGCGTTCTCAAGAATAGTGCAACCATTTCTATAAAAAAAAATAGTTGAACTTCCGATAAAATTTAAGCTGCGAAATTCATTTTTTTTTTGTCTATAGGTAGGTACTTTCCCATACAACTTTACGACTTAAATAATTGAATTGCGAATACCTCATACATTGTAACTTTAAAAAGTTCAAAATGATGCAAGATATTGATTAAAACTTATAAGTGGTACTTAATAGGCAGTTACATAAATCAAGTAATGATTTATTAACAGCCGTAAAAAAATTCTCTAAGAAAATCAGTCAGCTAGGTTCCGGTGTAACTTCTTGGGAAATTTACTTGTTATTTATGCCGCAAATCAAATGATTGACAGTCAATTATCTGGGTTATTAAAACGTCGTTCAATTAACATTTAATTAAACGTTTGTTTATGTTAATTAATTTGAGCTTGTTTCCTTCGAAGCATTATCTAATAATTTATTGTAATTTCGCATCTGGCCGCTTGCCGTACTGCTTGCTTGTTTGTTTCATGTATATTCATTCGAGGGGCAATTTGCCGCTTTTCTTTGGTTTCAGAAAAAAAAGTTGGCTTTGCGCAACGTGATGCAATAATTCATTCGATTAATGAACGGTAAAAAGCAATAATTGAATGACATTTTTTTTTTGGTTATTTTGGGTTACTTTGGGTTAGTTACTTTACAAAATTTTAGATCGAGAACAATTTAAAGTTTCAATATGTATTTTAAGGTAATATATACAGGGTGGGGACTTAAACTGGAACTAATTCGCTAGAGTCTTTTTATGAAATATATGGACAAAACGCAAAAACACATCGCTTGAGATATTTTGCAAGCTTTCCAGTCATTAAAAAAAAAAATCATCCCTTTTAAAGGCGGGAACATTTTATGATCTTCTTTTTTTCAATTTGTTATTTTCATAATAGTTATTTTTAGGCGACTGTCACAAAAAGATTAGTTTTACGGATTCAATATCATCCCTAAAGTATATCTTTTTTGGCCGCATTTACTTTACGGCCGCATTTAATTCACGGCCGCATTTGCTTTATTACTTTACGGCCGCTTTTACTTCACGGCCGCTTTTACTTCACGGCCGCTTTTACTTTACGGCCGCTACTTTGGTGAAAATAAACAATTTTTTCTATAATCACACTCTCTTTATCGTAGTTTTTGTTATTATGAATTGTGTATCTACCTATCTTTGCTGGATTATTTATTTGATCAATAAAGTTTAAAGTTACTGTTGAATTTTATTCTTTTTTCAACAACAAACACTCGCCTAAAAAATTTTGTGTGCACCTCGGCCGAATGATCTTTTTTGGCCTCACCTGAAAGTTGCTTGACCTCGGCTGCGCCTCGGCCGCTAATTTCTGATTCGGCCAAAAAAATAAACTTTACGGCCTTGGTACACAATAGTTATTTGTGTACCAAGGCCGTAATGATGACAAAATTTTTTAGGCGAGTGTTTGTTCTTGAAAAAAGAAGAAAATTCAACAGTCGCTTTAAACTTTATTGATCAAATAAATAATTCAACAAAGATAGGTAGATACACAATTATTAATAACAAAAACTACGATAAAGAGAGTGTGATTATAGAAAATTGCCGACTTTTTCGCCTGGTATCTTACATTGAGCTTTTTTAAAAAAGCAATCAATTTTGAAAACTTGCTGATATGTTAGCTTTTCCGACTATTATTGTAAATTTTAACATAGAGTATAACATAGGTGGACTTGAAGACCATAACGTTGAGGATTATTTAATTTTGGCATTTTCCGAAAAAAAATGCAAGAAAATACTTCTCCCAAATTTTTAATCATGCCGTTTTTTTTAGCATTTTATGTGGAAATTTGGATAGAGCTAAAATTAAAAACTTAGTTTCATTGTGGTTGTGTTGATGGCTACGGCACTACGTTTCCGATTGTTCGTTTATTTTCACCAAAGTAGCGGCCGTAAAGTAAAAGCGGCCGTAAAGTAAATGCGGCCGTAAAGTAAAAGCGGCCGTAAAGTGATAGAGCAAATGCGGCCGTGAAGTAAATGCGGCCGTAAAGTAAATGCGGCCAAAAAAGATATACTTTAGGGATGATATTGAATCCGTAAAACTAATCTTTTTGTGACAGTTGCCTAAAAAGGTTTTTTTTTTTCAATTAAAAATTTACTATCACACCGAAATGAAAAATAAATTGCACAGCTGATTTTCTTACGAAACTAGCTTTACAAAAAGGTGCCACGCCCACAAGTGGTATCATCTAATTTTAAAAAA